GCGTCATCTGGATCACTTGTCTCAGCGGTTCAGGTACCGATCGAGTGGTATACATATATATATACAGGCATATATATACATATATATATAATCTTGAAACAATACCTTTGGTTGCTGACACAAATGGTGGAATCGGGCAGGGAAAAGCACAGTGGCTTGTGCGTTAAGTAAAGCGTTGTACGAAAGAGGCAAACTTACTTACACTCTCGACGGAGACAACGTTAGGCATGGCCTGAACCGCGACCTCACCTTCAAGGCAGAGGATCGTACCGAAAACATCCGTAGGATCGGTACGACAAACCACCCCGATAACCGGGTTTCGGTTTAATCTGGTTATCGTGTTTCTAATGGAATTATTGTTTATCATTCAGGGGAAGTGGCTAAGCTCTTCGCGGACGTGGGCGTGATTTGCATCGCGAGTTTGATTTCGCCGTACCGGAGGGACAGAGACTCGTGCCGGTCGTTGTTACCGGAGGGAGATTTCATCGAAGTACGAGAAAATTTTAGTGGAAGATAATTTAAAACTTTATATTTTTTTAAATATATAAATTATTTCATTCGGGATGATTTTGTCTGACGTGTCATTTTTTAAAATAAATTCGTTATAAGGTATTTATGGACGTGCCACTCCAAGTTTGCGAGGCAAGAGATCCAAAAGGCTTGTACAAGCTCGCTCGAGCCGGCAAGATCAAAGGTACCTACAAAATGCAAAACCCTAATTACAAAAATAAAAATAAAAGACCGAATCATACGAATTACGAATACGAATATATATTAGTTTATATTTCTATATTTCCGTTGAATATTGATTAATTAACGTTTGTAAAATACGTCGGACCAAATAATTTTCATTGAAATTACATATTATTTTGTTAACCTCTGCGTAGGGTTCACTGGAATCGACGATCCTTACGAGCCACCGTTGGATTGTGAGGTCCGTAATCTAATATAATATAAACATGCAAAATATCAATATATAATCGTCGGACATTTAATTCAAATATTTGTATAGCAATTTATTTTTGTATTTTTTTTATTTGCAGATAGTGCTGAAACACACGGGGGATAACTACTCTTCGTCCCCACGAAAGATGGCAGAGACCATAATATCTTATCTGGAAAGCAAAGGCTACCTTCGGGGCTAAAAATAAATAAATTCATTTCATGTTTCAATCCCCATCCACAAGTTTCCTATTGGATGATTTATCTGTTTGTAATACGACGTCGCTTTTGTTCATCTTGCTTCATTTGTTCTTACATATCCAGAGGAAAATGTGCCAGAAAAAAAAAAGTGTTAAGACATCTTATTAGGGTTTTGTCTGCTAGAGCGAGATTAATAAAAAATAAAAAAGAAAGATGGGTTGTACGTGCCATCTATCTTCTATATTTATCTGTAATATATATACGATTATTGTCGGAGCAATTCCAATTAATTATGTGACAAACGCGCCTTCGTATCGTGTAATTATGTTTCTTCTAGTAGTTATATATACTTCAACGATCTGTTTAATTTAAAAAATATATATTTGGACAAGGCACGATGATAATTGTTATTAGGAAGGTTAAATTGGCTGTACATATTCTCCAATTGAATGCCATTTTTTCAAGAAACATGCATGTCATATGATACTCTTATACTATACATTATACATTAGTGCTCTCTCTCTATATATAGACATGCATGCACTCTCTCTCTCTCTCTCTATATATATATTACGCACTATGGGTTAGTGCTCTTATATTTTACATTTTTACCTTTTTGCTCTCTCTCTCTCTCTCTCTCTCTCTATATATATATATATATATACACACATATATCCATACATGCATGCATGGGTTGACGCTCTTCCGAAGTGAAACATTAAATTGTATGATACATACTGTATATGACAATCGGGTTCGGGTAGCAAAATTTGGATAAATATGTCCTAAAACATATCGACCAACTTTAACATATCGTTTAATCAAGCAATGTACAAGCTAATATGCGTTAGTTCACTTGATAAAATTGCGTTTGAAAAAATTCACTCCGCGAAAATAAATTTCAATAGTCATTATATCAAAAATATCTTTTTTTATTATTTTGATTTTAATACACTATTTTTCAACGGTGACATGTGATTCATATGATTAGAAATATAATATGATCATATATTGATCTTATTAGTCATAACTGTAGATTTATGGTGATCACACTAATTTATTATATTCATCACTTACATGTCTCACTAATTATATGATAATTTCAACACGCACATACCAATGAGTCAAATATATGACCAAACTATAATTTTGATCATATAGGTTATAGCACGCATTTAAAGAAATGTATGTGCGTGTTGAAATTATTTAATCATATGGGTTATAGAGTCAGGCATTATTTAAAGAAGGTATGTGTGTTTGAAGTCAAAATAAGAAAAGATATTTTCGATAATGCCCACTTTTCAATTAACACAAATGTCAATGTTGGAAGGCTTTTCACGTGGCATGAATTCGGCCGACACGAATTTGATAAATTATTGCCAAAAACGGACAATCTAAGGAAAAAAGTTTACTAATTTTAACTATAACCTTTTCCAACTAGAGAAAAGTAAAAAAAAAAAACATGAAAGCTTCCTAAATTCATTGAACTAATAGATATTTTATTAAACAAAAAAGCGACCACATTTAAAAAAATAATATATACTCAATTTCATGGTAATCATATATATCATTAAAAAAATTCCCCTGTTAGATTTAAATCAAACAACTTTTTTTTTGCTTTGAGAAAACGAAAATTTCCAAACAGTTCACCGAAAACTAGATGAAATACCCGAGTCCGAACCTCATATTGGAGAGAATAGCATATATTTTAATCACATAACTTGTTATAGACCTCGGCATAAGACACCAGATTATCAAAAAAAAATTAGGTGAAATATCTGCTATGATATTTTTTTTTTTGCGATTAAACCAAATTGCAATTATAAATTGGTATCTGATAGGTGGGATTTGGTAGTTAGAGCACGTTTTCATTCATGTCTTTCTTTGAACTCATACATATACACACATCTATATACATACGTTTATCCACGTTGCATATATCTATATATTTGCAATATACATCTACCTTGGTAGTTGGCAAAGTAGACAAAAGCATCCACGTGATCTAGTTTATACGAATTTCTAATTTTTTTCCCTGGTATTTATATGGCATTATTTTTTTTAATACATACATATATACACACACACATATATATATATATATACGCACTTTGTCCATGATGCGACAGGCGAAACCGCGAGGGAATTGATCGAGCATTGGACTGTAAAGTCTGTAATGACAAGACTTTTGTTTCCTTTTAGTTACTAGATTCATTCATCGTCACGTGCGGTTATCTTTGAGCTTGGTAGGTTGGTAGGTACACACAAAATTAACCATTATATAGTTTTATTATTACCACTTAAATCCCTATATTCCACGAGATCGCATGTTGATTTGCACCAAATCTTGCAAATTAGTTCATTGCTGCATTCTAATCAGATATTAATCCATATATTCATATCTAGGGTTGAGGGTTTAAACATTGATTAATCTACAGTTAACGTTGGGATATAAAGGGTCACGCGCGTATGGAATGGCCATGCATATTATATATAAGACACGTCGTTACAAATATACTAAATTTTTGGACTTGACTGATTATGTGTACCAATATTTGCAACCTGAGAGACGAAAATGTTGACCGTCCTTGTTAATACTGACTAGTCTTATTTTTGCCCAAGTGTTAGGCTGTTAATATATATATATGTATATATATATATATATATAATAGGATGCAATTGAAGGAATAATTGGAATATGTGTTTAGGATACTTGAAGATATATAGTTAGATATAAAGAAAGTTTGAGTACTAGCATTTGTATACATGCTTTTGATACCATACATATATCTTATATTATATATAAACGGAAACAAGTGAATACATTTTATTTTCCCTAATTTCCATCCTAAAAAAAGTGTAGGCTTAGAACTTATCGTATTTAGTGAATTGATCAAGAAAATCACGTTGAGTATCGAATATATATAGATCGTGTAGGCACTAAATGGACATGCATGTATAAAGCATAAAGGAGAATATTCATACATCAATGTCCATTCTCTGACAAGATATAATCTCTTGACTCATTTAAATAGAAAATTAAATTACAGCTACGACCATCTAATTTCAAACTCAGCGTTATCCATTGGCAATTTAATTATTATAACAAGAGTGAATAAAACTTTTTCTATTTTTGAAAATTCCACGTAATTTTATGCGTTTGATTAATTTCACGATAAGACACTAACAAATACACTACGTATCTATAGATCCATGAGCCAAAAAAAAAGGTGAAACGTGCTAATACGGAGTGCAACCGTTTTTTGGTCGAAAAACCTCGTCAATGACCTTAAACGGCGTGGCATCACCTTCATGTCCCACCAATATCTGCTGATTTGAGTCGTTATGTTAACTCCCACTTCCCACATCAATTTCCACGAGCCATTTTGGCAGGTGAACCAAACACTTTGTACGTACATGCATGTAATAACATACATACATACATATATATATTATATACCACTGTACAAAGAAAACTATCTATAGCTTTTATTCGGTCTGTTGCATATAGATTATTTGGATTAAGCATTCGAGTGTATGTTATTATACGTATACGTGAATTACTAATTCAAATGAATCTTTTAATTGGTACCATTAACAATTTGTCGGAATCCTACCATTAGATTGACATGTTGTTATTAATTAATTACATTTTCAACGACAATATTCGGATAAATGCTTTAGATTCGTGGTACTTGTAGTTTAAATTTGATATTCTAATTAGTATCTATTCACATTTATTACAGGAGTTACTGTTTTTGGGACGAGAATATATATATATATACATATATATATATATGTGTATATATATATAAAAGATGATTTCAATGTTTGGACCGAACTAATAAAATTACGGTGTTGATACGGACGTGATATGTTATAGTTATAAAGAAAATATTGAGATTCATAGAGGCGTTGGACGAAATTATAGTATTCGTCGATGTTGCAAGATTTTTCAGGTCAAACTTCAACCGCTGGTGTTTATATATGCATATATAACACGAGGGTTTTGGCAGGTCACCAACAAAAAACGTTTTTTTTAATAAATAATATATAGAATTTTTACCCACATCCATTTAAATGATTATGCAATAAATATCATAGTCTTTTTTTAAAACGGTAGACCAAAAAATTCCACGTAGCGTACAAAGACCCGGTCTTTTCCTCTCTTCTTCCTCTCAAGACCACAGGGGCATTGCAGTCATTTCGCATAATAATCGGGAACGTTATAAATAGGAAGGTGAGATCGAGACACATGCAGAAACAGAACTACAATCACAAAATACTTAGATTCCTTTCTGTTTCCTTCTTCCACTTTCCTCTATTCACGTACTATGAATACCTTAGCCTTGAACTCGTCCGACCACGACATGCATTGGACCAGCACGACGTCGTTTAGCAACAAATACCTCATCACAACACTTCAAGCCATTGTCGTGATCGCTGTGGCGATACTGTTCAAGAGACTGAAATCTCCAAAGAATGGATCCAAAAAGCTGCCTCTACCTCCGGGATTCGCCGGATTTCCGATCGTCGGAATGGTTCCGGCCATGCTGAACAACCGTCCCGTTTTCCGGTGGCTTCACGGCCTTATGAAACAACTCGACTCCGAGATAGCATGCGTCAGGCTCGGCAACACTCACGTGATCCCGGTCACGTGCCCTGTGATCGCCCGGGAGATGCTCAAGCAGCAGGACGCTGTCTTCGCCTCCAGACCCCTCTCTTACGCTCAGAAGGTTCTCTCCAACGGGTACAAGACTTGCGTCATCACGCCGTTCGGGGAACAGTTCAAGAAAATGAGGAGAGTTGTCATGACGGAGGTCGTCTGTCCCGCCAGACACAGGTGGCTTCACGACAAGAGAGCCGAGGAAACCGACCACTTGACCGCTTGGCTCCACAGCATGGTCAAGAACTCGAGCCCTGTCGATTTCCGTGTGCTGAGCCGACACTACTGCGGTAACGTGATAAAGAAGCTGTTTTTCGGGACAAGGACTTTCGGGCCAGGGAAAATGGCGGCGGACGGTGGACCGACGGCCGAGGATATCGAGCACATGGAGGCGATGTTTGACGGGCTTGGTTTTACGTTCGCGTTCTGTGTATCGGATTTCCTTCCGTGGCTAACGGGACTCGATCTGAACGGTCACGAGAAGATTATGAGAAGGGCGAGTGCTGTTATGGACAAATATCACAACCCGATCGTGGACGAGAGGATTAAGCTATGGAGAGAAGGCAAGAGAACTCAAGTTGAAGACTTTCTTGATGTTTTCATCTCTTTGAAGGATCAGGATGGGAAGCCTTTGTTGACACCTGATGAAATCAAGCCCACACTCAAGGTAAATACTACGTATTATATGGAAGAGACAAAAAAAAAAACTTTTCGGTGGTTATATAGTCAGCCTTTATAATTATATTATTTGGACAAACCACCAGACTATAACCGTAAATGGGTTTATATATAATCCACAGGAACTTGTAATGGCGGCTCCGGACAATCCTTCGAACGCCGTGGAATGGGCGATGGCGGAGATGGTGAACAAACCGGAAATCCTTCAAAAGGCCATGGAAGAGATCGATAGGGTCGTCGGAAAAGACAGACTCGTGCAAGAATCCGACATTCCTAAACTGAACTACGTCAAAGCCTGTCTCCGCGAAGCTTTCCGTCTCCACCCGGTCGCGGCCTTCAATCTTCCACACGTCTCGCTCTGCGACACGACCGTGGCTGGCTACCACATCCCGAAGGGTAGCCAAGTGCTCCTGAGCCGGTACGGTCTCGGCCGCAACCCCAAGGTTTGGTCCGAGCCACTTAGCTTCAAGCCCGAGAGACACCTTAACGAGTGTTCCGAGGTCACTTTGATCGAGAATGACCTCAGGTTCATATCCTTCAGCACAGGCCGACGTGGCTGCGCCGCTCCGGCTCTCGGCACGGCCATAACCACCATGTTGCTGGCTAGGCTTCTTCAGGGGTTCACGTGGAAGTTGCCGGAGGGCGTGACACGCGTCGAGCTCGTGGAGTCGAGCCATGACTTGTTCTTGGCTAAGCCCTTGGTCATGGTTGGTGAGCCGAGGTTGGCCGAGAATCTTTACCCGACGGTGAACTGAGTCGGCGAGGATGTGTATATACCAATATATATATATATATTGCCAATCCATGTTCTGTGTGGATAGACACTTGGTTTGTGTCTCCCTTTTATTTTATTTTTTTGTTTTTTATAATTTTTTTTTGTCTTTGTCTTGGTAAAATTGTTATAACGAGAAGATCATTATCGGCAGCTCTAACCCTCGTCCGATCTTGTTTTCAATCCTTGTAAAAAAAATCTCTTGCAATAAAATATTTTATTTGGAGCATATATGATATTTCAAATATCGTATATTTATGAAGCATCGCGAAGTTCTAGAAAAAATTAGAATAAAGAGCAATAATATTAATATACATATACAATATAAAAAATAATAAAAATGTATAATCATAGAAAGGGTTTATATAGAGGTAGATTTGATTTTAGTGTGGAAGGTATTTAACAATTTTATCTAAAATTTAATAAAAATTGAAAATTTTAATTAATCAAATGGGGCATATACCTCCAACCAGGGGGACAACGGGTCGGGTCAGCCCGATTTTTTCCGGAACTATATAGTTAAATTCGAAGTCCGATTCTATATATTTTGGATCGGGTCGGGTTGGACCGACATGCACAATTCTCTTTGTAAATCTTATTATTATTTTTTTAAATAGTTTTTCGATCGGTCCAACTCGAATCCAAAATCCGATTCGAGTTTGATCCAAAAGCCCAACTTTTTTGGATCTAGAAATTTAGATCTGATACCCGCTAATTTTTGAACTGGGTCTAACCGGTTTTTCCGCCTAAATTGACACCCCTACCTCCAACCTTTGTAAGATCCGCCCATGAAGCCTTCCCACCATGTTAATAATATTAGTACTCTCCATATTACACGACGGCCACAAGTTTTCGATTAAAATCAGATTTATTCGAATATAAAAATCAATAATTATCATTGGTAAACATATAATTTTATACCAAATTATTCAAATAAAATCAAACTAAATTTATACCTAATACTCCAATAATTTCATTATCACCATTTCCCATTCGATGCCACCTAAAAAGATGGAGTGTTGTGGGAAAAAAATAAAATAAAATTATCACACGAAGACAAAGAAAAGTGACCCGAAGACATTTCTGCTTTCCACCGTTACCTTATTACAAAAAAAAAATCATTAACAAAGCTGGACCGCTTTCACACCGATGTTGTTTTCTCTAAACATTTCCATTTAAATTAAGAAAATGAATACAACTGTAATTAGTTGAGCTTAAACAATTTAAGGAATTAGATTGATTGATAGGGTTTAGTGGAGTTAGTTTAAAGAGTTTATAGATGGCTGAATTTATGAAAAAATGGGTTTAATTTATAAAATTAACATGCTAACAAAAACTATAGAATTTAAAACACAAAAATTTAATAAATGAACAATTAATTAAGCTCACCGTTTCAATTAAATATTTTAGTCATTCAATATTTTTTTAAAAAATTATAAATTCAAATTCTCTAAACTATTTCAACTTCAAACTCAATTATCTTGATCTTATGCCTCAATTCTTTAATTTCTGAAGTCTATCTCTCTAATTTTAAATTATCTTAAATGTTTGAATATTTCCAATTCAACTAGTTATAACTGAAAGTCAACATTTCACAATCTTATGTGGTAAAAGTTATTCACCGTCTTAAATATATCTGTATATAGACAAGTATTACAGCCATTAATGGCAAGACAAGGAAGCATATCAAGTTTGTACCGTAGCCAATAGGAGCCATCCACGTCATCAATAACTGGGTTTCGTCTTTTTTTTTTTATAAGAAAATAACCGGGATTGTCGATGAAAAAGAAACTGGGTTTGTCGACTTTCAAATTCGCATATATTGTTATTCTTTCGCCAAGGTTCTGGCTGGGCAACTGGACTCAGATCAAACTCAGACAAGAAGTAAAATGGTGAGTTGTTTCAGCTACACTGCTTGTCGGAACAAATGCTTCCGGTACAGTTTCTCCTCCGCCGGTCTCCGGTCATCGACGGCCGATCTCGGCGACGGCACCATCGTCCACTGCTGGGTCCCACGGACCCACCTCGACCACAAGCCCACGCTCGTCCTCCTCCACGGGATCGGAGCCAATGCCATGTGGCAGTGGGACTGGTTCATCGACCGGTTCATCCCCCGGTTCAACGTCTACGTACCAGACCTCCTCTTCTTCGGCGACTCGCACACGACTCGGCCCGAGCGATCCGAGTCTTTCCAGGCCAGGTGCGTCATGGCCGTGATGGATGCCCACGGGGTCCGGACCATGGCCGTTGCCGGGATCAGCTACGGCGGGTTCGTGGCGTACGCCATGGCGGCGCAGTTTAAGGAGAGGGTCGAGCGCCTGGTGCTAATTTGCGCCGGGGTGTCTCTTGAGGAGAGCGATATGGACAATGGGCTTTTTAAGGTGAAGAGCGCGGAAGAGGCGGCGACGATTCTGTTTCCTCAGTCTCCGGCCAAGCTCCGGCAACTTCTCCGGCTTGCTTTCTTCAAGCCGCCGATCGTAATCCCTTCCTGCATCGCCAATGACTATATCCGCGTGAGTCTTTTGCTAGCCAACTCTAGTCATCGTGCATTTCGTTGAAAACTGTGGATTGAAAATCAGATTTTTACATAAATTCTTCAACTTTTCTCGTTTTTGTGTAATGGGCATTCATACATTCTCTAATTTCATATCTGAATTTCTGTTGCTTCTTCTGGGGACAATTATGCGATAAATGTTGAGCTTTGTTCAGTTCTCTGTAGTTTCATTGAAGAAATGTTGAAACTTTTTAGTTCTTGGAAGCGTTCTTGAACGAGTTTAGCTGGACCAGTTTGAGTTAGAATCACATTCCCAAATGTCAGCTTGGCTTAAAATGCAAGCAGCATTCTTGTCTTGATTCAAAATATCGTTCTTCTTACTTGTTTTCGTGTTCAACTTCCAGTTGATTTGATCTTGTCCTCGGTCATTGAATGCTTTTTGACAGAAATCTGATCTTTGTTTGAGAATTTCCGGGTTTAAATGGTGGCAGATGATGTGTACGGAGCATCTTCAAGAGAGGACAGAATTGGTGGAAGCACTTCATAAGGGCAGGAGATTCTCCAACCTTGCAAAGATAACACAGGTTTTCATCTCCTTTACATCCTTGTAACTCTGTCCGAGACTATAGTTTCTATTTGGCACATACCAGTGTAATGAAAGATAGCCTGGAAAAAATCTGTTCAAGTAGTCCCCGAAATCGGTTTTGCCACCAAAAGATCTCTCCTGAGTCCTGGCCATGGCAATGCCCGAGAGGATGTAATTTGCAGCCTCGAATGATTTGAGCCATCCCTTAGCAATTTACCGGTTAATTAGTCCAGCCATTCAATCACAGTTTGTCTTCTTAGTTGTGATGTCTGGTCTGAGTTATAACCGTGTGGAACAATGTCTCTGTAATCTATCTGCTCAAACATAATTTCATGGAACAATGTCCTTGTGAATCTGTCTGATTGTCTGGTTTTGGCGCTGAACCCGTGTTGGTTTCTTCATTGCTGCAGCCGACAATGATAATATGGGGAGATGAGGATCAAGTATTCCCGGTGGAATTGGCTCATAGACTAAAAGGGTCTCTCATCCAATTCCCTCAAGTCATTGTGTTCTGCTACTAAGTTTCCGACATTCTGGTTCTGGTTCTTGTTCTTACATTTCCGGTTTGATTCATCTGAAAACGCAGACACCTCGGAGAGAACGCTCGACTCACGATACTGAAGAAGACAGGACACGCCATTAACGAAGAAAAACCGAAAGAGATGTATAAATACATGAAATCCTTTCTGGTAGATACGGTCCTGTCTCCAAAAGACAAGCCAAAAGACTCAAACTGATGAAGAGTTATGTTCCTAAAGCTCGACCCAAACATTCATGGTCTGATTGCATATGGGAAGAACGAGGAGGAGCTGGTGAAAGAGAAAGCACTGTGAAAGACAAGTTACTGTAAAAGATCTTATTTGAGTCCTGAGATGAAACATCATTCGATGGTGTTCTTTTGCTTGGAAACTTCTGGTTCAACGAGAGGCTTCTGATATATACATAATTAAACCGGACATATGTGATTGTATGCGCGCGAGTATATCATACATCTATTTGGAAGGATTGGGTTCATCGTTATAAACCACGTAAATATTAAGTTTCTAATCTCTATTTTTATTGCTTGCAAATAATTGGAATATGTATGAAATAATTATTATTTTTTAATTAATATATTCCGTGAACTTATATTTATATATGTAATTGAACCGAGGACGTTTAGTCTGCATTTCGGGAAATCTCGACCGTCCAATCTGGCCTTTCACCAGACAGAAGATTCGGAGAATCCAACGGTGTAAACTCTGCTGCATACCGGAACAGAAAACGTTGTGTTGCAGAGGAATAAACCTCTGGTGAAAACCATCGCGTATGTCTTCCTCTCCAATGAGCAAACAGAGTTCAGCCTCATCCTTCCTCTGCCGCTAACTATTCTCTTGCGAAACAGCTCTTTCCTGCTCTCTTTCTCTAAGAGAGCGAAAGGCGAGAAGAGATATAGGTATGGTTTCTCCGAATTTCGTTCCTCTTTTCGGCGCCCTATTTCATCTGTGGTTGTATTGTAATGTTAGGTGTGCCCTCGTTTTCTCTTCGAGGATCGGGAGAAAGCTAATCTTCTTTCGTTTAGATGGCTAAAATTTGATGTTCTTTGTAATGGGTATGGCTTGTTTTCCATGAAAGCGAACTTTTTTCCGTGCTTATTCGATGCATTTATTCATTCCGAGTTCATTGTATTGCTCGGCGGAGGGAGGGATTCTGTTTCTTTTCTCTTCTGTTTATTGCTTTTTCTTCTTATGAGACAGAACTTTCTCTTGCTGCTTGTTCTGCATGTCGAAGGATAGATATCGCAATTGCATCTGCTTCATGAATTGACTGTTTTTCTGCATTAACATTGATAGTAAGAGAGCTACTTCTTTTTGTTGTTTCAGGGAGTGAGTTGAATTGAATGGCTCTAATTCAATTCGGAAGTGCGTGTGTTGCTCAATGGGGGATTCGCCCTCAGTTTCAAGTGAGAGCATTTTATCCGAGCAGAGAGAAACCCGCCCACCAATCCAGGTAGGAATGGCTGTTACCATATGGATTAGTTCTTGACATAGTGATATCGAGATTAGTTGGCTTTCATTTGCTAAGATTCTGCATTTTGGGTTTGCTTAGGGTTGAACGGCAATAGATGTTAGCAAACCATGGTGGTTTTCGATTTCTTGAGAGGGGGTTATATTGCTTTACTAAAAGTTCCTTGGAAATGGAAAGGAGAACTTGTCTTTAGAGGCATACATCTGGAGCTAATTGAATGTTTTATTGATGATTTTCAGTTCGACAAGCCAACTAAGTTGTTTTGGAGCAACTAAGTCGAGTATATTCGCAGGCGGGTCCTTGCCCTTCTTATCATTGTCGGGCCTATCTCAAAATTTACACCGTCGTAGAGGAGCACGCTTCACCGTTAGAGCTGATGCTGTGGGTGAACATTTTCTCTTTCTCTGAACACTACATGACAGCTTCTCTACTTTTGGATTGTTAATCTTTTTCATACTTTGCAGAAAATATCACTTGTTTTCTAAGATCTCCCTTTTGAGACATTCTGGCTCATTCTTTTACTCTCATGTGGTTATATATGATTCTAGGATTACTACTCGGTCCTCGGAGTTTCAAAAAATTCAACCAAATCAGAGATTAAAAGCGGTATGTTTTGTTTTTTGCTGAGTGAGAGATTATGGAATTCCCCTAGTATGATTCTATTGCATGTATAGACGTGCATGGGCTTCTTTTAGATAATCTGTCTTTCAACAGATAACTCCTTACCCTTAACTCAAATTCTTCTCTTCGAGTTTTGCGTGTTTGGCTTTACCTTGTGCTCTTCTACAAAAGAAGTTATGACGATGATTTTCTCCTCCTTGAATTTGCTTCAGCTTATCGGAAGCTAGCTAGGAATTACCATCCTGATGTCAACAAGTAAGTGACAAAATTTCACCTAATTGGCTTAACTGATTAACCCAGATAAGGTGTCTACACAAGTTATTACCTTCCTGTTTGAAGATTGGTTTTGATACTTGTCTAAATCAAGAGGGTAAATGTGTCACTTTCTATGAGGCGATCAGATTGGTGTTATTACATGTTTTAATCAAATTGCTGAGACATTTGCTTAGTACAGATTGAGAAAATGAAAGTTTGCAATCTTAGTTTGTGGATACTGTTGTAGATGTCATATTTGTTTCTCTCAAATAAGAGACGGTATAGTAATAGTAACCCTTAAATTTTGAGACTTTTATGTTTTTTTTTTCTTCACCCAAGAATTGGAGATCCTATATCCATTCATGAGGATTGAACCTAACTGTGTCTTCTTTCTGTGCACTTTTTTTCAAATGCCTACAGGGATCCTGGAGCAGAGCAGAAGTTCAAAGACATAAGTAATGCTTATGAGGTGAAATCCTACTTCTCCTCTGCACTTTAGATGGATTTCATCACAATCAAAGGTTTGCTTTTAGCAGTTTTGGGTTTTTCGTTGATACAACAAAATTTGTTTTGCAGGTCTTATCAGATGATGAGAAAAGATCTCTGTACGACAGATATGGTGAGGCTGGTGTTAAAGGAGCGGGAATGGGCACGGGGGTATGTTGTTGTAAAATGAATTATAGACACACTTTCTCTGAAATCCTGATTAACACCCTCTGATTGCTTTCATTTTCTTTTTCTTTTTTCGGATGTGACTTTTCTCTAGGATTTCAGTAACCCATTTGATCTGTTCGAGTCATTGTTCGAAGGCATGGGCGGGATGGGTATGGGTGGAATGGGTGGTAGGGGTTCAAGGAGTAGAGCAGTGGATGGGCAGGATGAGTACTACACACTCGTCCTGAACTTCAAAGATGCGGTTTTCGGGGTTGAGAAAGAGATAGAGATCTCACGGCTAGAAACCTGTGGCACGTGCAACGGGTCAGGGGCAAAAGCCGGGACCAAGCCAACCAAATGCAGCACTTGCGGCGGGCAAGGTCAGGTGATATCATCAGCCAGGACGCCACTGGGCATATTCCAGCAGGTCATGACATGTTCATCATGCCAAGGCACGGGAGAAATCTCAACTCCGTGTGGGACGTGTTCAGGGGACGGACGGGTGAGAAAGACGAAGAGGATAAGCCTGAAGGTGCCAGCCGGGGTGGATTCAGGGAGCAGGCTGAGAGTAAGGGGAGAGGGTAATGCCGGGAGGAGAGGCGGATCATCGGGCGATCTGTTTGTGGTGATAGAGGTCATTCCAGATCCCGTGCTGAAACGGGACGACACCAATATACTGTACACGTGCAAGATAACGTATATAGACGCGATTCTTGGTACAACGTTGAAAGTACCGACGGTGGACGGGATGGTGGAACTGAAGATACCGGCCGGGACGCAGCCAAACACGACATGAGGGGGGATCAGTTGGTGAAGGTGCAAGTGGAGATTCCAAAGAGATTGAGCAAAGAGGAGAAGAAGCTGGTTGAGGAGTTGGCAGATTTGAGCAATAAGAACAAGAACAGCAAGACAGCTAACAGCAGAAGATGATGACTTTTGTTGTTGTTGGCCTTTGGCTTTCGGATGAAGCTCATCTCTCTTGAGTTGGGATGGTTCCTCTCTAAGACAGGACCTAACCCTAAGGATGAGTGTGTGATTTGGTTGGATTGGATTGGATTGGGAGAAGCAGTTGGGGGGGGGGGCAAGGTGTTAAACTATGTTGTTGTGTTCCGAGGAGGTGAGATTGAATTCCCTCTCTAATTTTGGATTAAATGGACAAAATTATTAGTTTCATGGATTTGGGTTAGAGTAGGCTCTGTTGTACCCCACATATATTACAATATTTTATTACAAGGAAGTTATTGGAATTTAATGATTTATGCTAACAAGAGGGAATTATTACTAGCCCACATCCTGAATCCAACCTGGCCCAAAATTGGCTCCCGACGTATGAATAAAGTTATTAAAATCCAATTATATATTAATTGTGCGAAAGGGTTTCTAATTCTATACAGGTTCGTTCAACACCCTAAAGAACAGTGGTCAAATCATTTCATTATGTTTTTAAGGTTGTAATAATTAAATCAAAGGCTAATTAAAACGAAAAAAAAAGATTAATGGGGTGAGAGAGGCTCGAACTCTCGACCTCAGGATCACTCAGAAGCTATGAGACCTACGCGCTAGCCAACTGCGCCACCACCCCTTTTGTTTTACTCGTAGAAGTAATATATATTGGGTTTTTGCCATGAACAAACTCACAGAAGAACAATAAAAGCAGAATTCGAGGTTGTATTGACGTGTCAAAACAGTCTACTGATGCATTGCCTGAGCAGTAGAATAACTATTCAGTTGACAAAGGAAGAAACCAATTAACAGCTTCGGACATATACGTATGTCTTGATGGTTTTTACTTCGTACACTACAATGTAGTACCGCCACCGTCCGACATAAGAGAAGCTGCGGCTGCAGCTGCAGTTGGCACCACTCCTGTTGAGACACCTGGTTTCGACAAGTGGAGTAGCCTGACAAAAGGGCAGAATTCAGAATTCACAAGCTTCAGTGGGGAATTTCAGACAAAGACCTTATTGAAAATCATCCATCAAGTACCAATCTGATAAAGAAGGTAAGAAGAGGGGTGATATACTCACGGAGCAAGATATTCACAGAAGGATGAAACAGCGGCCACAATCTCATTGTAATTCTCAGGAGTAGCAGGGGCTGTCACTTCTACAATCTGAATGCCGGGTGTTATAGGCACGGCCTCGTCCACGGCATGAAGCTTTGGCATTTTGTTCACAGACGATACCGAGACAGTGATTTGAGCTACCCTTTGGAAGTGAAACGAGAATCCAACTTTCAGGAGCTCGTGATCCAACTTGTAACCTAGAGCGTTGAACAGACGGAGAGCGTTCTTGCTTACTTTGCTCTCGACCATTGTTCTCACCAAAGCGTTGATTTGCTCGGCCCCAGCCCCTCTCATTGCACCTCCAACGTGTTTAACGGTCCTATCAACAATTATGGCAGAATCCTTTTGAGTGAAGTTCCAATACTCTAGGATAAATATCAGACAAGACCGAAGAACCCCAGGTCATCATACCAGGTGGGTTCTGGCTGATCAAGATCACATAAAAGCCGAACCTCTGAAGAAACAACTCCTGAAGGGAAATCACAATGTGGGTTATTAGTTGAAACAGCTTTCATACTGATGCAAAAGCTTAAGTGAACATCAAAATATGGAAGATACATTTAAGAAGTTCAAATGACAGTCAAATATTGATCTTCAATTTCCAATATGACCCTCTAGACTAACTCTATATAAACCGATTCAGGCCACATGACCCCCCACCAGACCATAATATGTGTTCCAAGAAGCTTATGCAAATGTTAATCAAAATAAAACAGCCAAAATGTATGAGAAGGAAGGGATGCCAGTCACCGGCTTAAATGCAGGTGCAAGAATAACAACAAGCATCGAATAAACTCATCACCAAATATTTTCTGAATTCAATTTTCCAAAGTTTCTTATTCCATTTCCTATTAGATTTCAATCACAGGGGAACCATTTGCATCTTTCAGCACGAAGAAAACATTGAGAAATCCACCATTAGATTGAAACGATATCTAAGGCAACAAATTTGGCATCAAAACTCCATGGATCAACTCAAAAGTATAACTTCAACCAAATTTTTATGCACTTCAAAGAAAAATTTGTTGTAGATCATCAAAATTTCGATGCCTTACCAAGGTTTGGCCCACTCTTCAAGCACAACTCATGCACTCTCAAACGTTCTCGTTGAACACCACAAAGACCTTGAAGAAGGATCTCAAGCGCTTCAACATGCTGCAATATAGAAGCAATTCGTCGATTCAAGCAAGACACGATCGATCATACGGAAAGAAGTAATAATTTTCTAAGAACGGATCCTGGTTGAGACAGTCAACACAAGCTGCTACATAGAAATTGAACATGCTTGCCACGAATTTGAGGGTCATGATTGAATTTTTCACAAGTTAACACCTTTTAAAACTTAGGATCAGACAAATGAATTGGGTTTTGTCTGGAAAAAAAAAATGCGCACCTGTGTCTCGATGATACCTTGAACCACACACTCCATGGAAATGCTTCTTCAGTTCACACCAAGTCTCCTGCACAGATCAATACGAGTTTTAACCCATAACGTCACAAATCAATTTCAGGTCGGAAAGGACCCACAATCAGATCATTCTCACTTTGAGCAAAGGCCCACCAGAACCGAGCTCGCGCGAAAACGGAAAAGCAGGAGAGAGAGAGAGAAAGAATTCTTACCAGAGGAAACTTCTAACGTCAACGAAGATGGAGGCGGTGTCGAAAATTCCGGCCGACGGCGAGGTGAACGGCGGAGAGGGATCGCAGACCTTAAGACCGTCGCGCGGACTCTGAACTTCCTCCTCCCCTGCACCTACTTGAATTTATTTAATTTAATTTGCACTTTGGTCCTTCCGTACGCAACTAATTAGTAATAAGCTTTCATTTGCACCCCATACTTTTTCCGAATATACCGGAAGTACCCCGTCAGTGAGGCCGTAGCCGGAAACAAATCTGAGATCCATGATATGTTGTTTTCCAGTGGGCTGAGCTTTTGGCCCAATATGAGATCCATATTTTTTTCTTCTTTTGTTCTCAATCTATCCCATAGATACAAATTGCAGAACCGTGTATGACAGTTAAGGTTTAAGTGTATAATTTACGAATTTCGACCACGAAAGGCGTTTCATGTCGGGTGATTGAACTATTGTGCAAGTGGGAATTTGAATATTACATATATATATATATATATATATATATATATATATATGGACATGTTACCAAAAAGTCATATTATTTATGACATATTCATGCGCGGATTCTGAACTTCCTCTTCCCCTGCAGATGTTAACCATCAGAGGGCATAAATATTTTTATATATATATGACATGTTACCAAAAAGGCATATTATTTATGACATATTCATGCGCGGATTCTGAACTTCCTCTTCCCCTGCAGATGTTAACCATCAGAGGGCATATGATTTTTTGTTGTTGTTGAAAATAAATAAAGTCGGTGAATTACATGTCGGTTGTATCCAATTGTCGTAGCTGTAAAAGTATAAGAACTTCCGTGGCAGATGGATTTTCAAAAAAAAAAATTAAAAACGCTTTCAAGGTGGACGCGTTATATAGAACCAGTCTTGCAGTAGCTTGTTTTTCGGTTGTTGCGGTTCTTTCTGGCTTGAATTTATGGTGTTTCATGGCTTGTTTCCCGGTTGTTGAGGGCATATGTATTTATGTAGTTTCATAGCCACAATTCAATCTCCCAGCCTACTAGTACTAGATCTTAGTATACCAGACAATTGATTCAATGTTTTTCATTAACAGTAGCCGCAAAAATTAAGTTTCATCTTGTTGAGAAAAGAATAAACCAGCTTAGAGCCATGAATAAAGATGTTGCACTTTTGAATTGAGATAACTGAATGTCCAACTCTTGATGAAGGTGAGTAACAAGATGGATCCTAATGAGCTGGTCAAGCTAGTGGAAATCCTGGATCCACACAACAAATCCGGAAGAATCACGGTGATTGTGAGAATGGGTGTTGAGAATACGAAGGTCAAGCTTCCATACTTGACCAGAGCGGTCCGGAGGACAGGCCAGATCGTGACATGGGTCTGGGACCCAATGCATGGAAACACCATCAAAGCATCATGTGGACTCAAAACCCATGCCTTCGACTCAATTCTGGTATCTTTTAAGCTAAACCCTTGATGATTATAACCTATATATATATGTCCATATTTTTACGGGAATTACCGCTCATGTATTACAGGCTAAGGTTAGAGCATTCTTTGATGTGCATGAGCAAGAAGGGAGCCATGCGAGGGGGATCCATCTCGAGATGATAGGGCAGAACGTGACGGAATGCATAGGAGGGTCTCGTACAGTGACCTACGATGATCTCGGTTCACGTTACCACACGCATTGTGATCCACGGCTTAATGCATCTCAGTCGTTTGAACTGACTTTCATTGTATCCGAGCATCTCAGAAAGAGAAGTATTAAGGATATGTATTGGGCCTATAAAAGATGTTGGGCCCAAGCAAGAAACAACGAGAGGCGACCCACTGAGCTCACCAAGGGAAGAAATCGCATACAATTTTCGTGTGGCAATTTCTCTCTCCTCCATTTCTCCTCCATTCTTTATTCCTTTTGTAAATCAGTTAGGAAGTTTTTTATTTGTTTCCTGTATAAATCCTTGTACAGATTCATTCTGAATCAATGAGAAAAATCTTTTTCAATCCTTGATATGGTATCAGAGCACTCTCTCTGATTTTTTTTCGGATTGCTTTCTTTTTCTCTGTTTATTCAATGGCGGATGTTCCAGCTGTTGCTCCTCCGAGGAATACGGTTGCTCCTGCGGCCCCGTATACTCCTGATGCTGATAGTCCTTACTATCTTTCCACTTCTGATCATGGTGGCGTGGTGATCGTCACTAAACCCTTGACTGGGGCGGCTGACTATCCATCTTGGCTTCGGGCGTTCAAGATGGCTCTCGAGGGTCGGAACAAAATCGGCTTTGTCGATGGTTCTCTACCCGAACCTGCTGAGGATGATCCAACCCATCGTTTTTGGGTTCGCAATAATGCTATAGTTGGAGGCTGGATAATGAATTCTGTCGCCGAACATATTGCTCAGAGCTTGCTGTATGTGGATACTGCTAGAGACATGTGGATGTTCCTCTCCAAGAGCTATCAACAAAGTAATGCTCCACGCAAATATCGGATCAAACAAAAGCTTCGCGATCTGCGTCAAAACTCCATGGATGTTGCCTCCTATTTTACTGCCATTTTTGCTGTTTGGAAGGAGTTCAAATCTGTTCGGGCTAATCACTCCTGTACATGTGGTCGATGCACATGTCTTCTCTCAAAACGGTGGAATGATGAAGATGAAAATGACTTTGTCATTGATTTCCTCTTTGGACTCAATGATGATTTTGAAGGAGTTCGTAGTCACATCCTTGCATTGGATCCTCCTCCTGATCTCCAAACGGCGTACAATCTTGTGCTTCAGCAAGAGCAGCAACGCTTGATCAAGACCTCGAAACCTCTGGATTCTGCCATTTTTCAGGTTTCCTCTGCACCTTCATCCGAGGTGGTTTCTGCCGCCTCTGGGCCTAGTTTTAAAAACAAGCAGCGACCTCTCTGTACCCACTGCGGTCTTTATGGGCACACTATTCAGAAATGCTATCGCCTTCATGGCTTTCCCCCTGGGTATCGTGCTCCCAAATCAGGAAGATCAACCTCTCCTCGCTCTCCTGCTCGTTCGGTACAATCTAAACCAACGACGCATTTTGCTAACGCTGTTCCGGATTCTAATGTCTGTTCCGATGTGGAGAAAATGTCTTTCAGTCAGATTCAGGATCTCTGCTCCAAAATCTCCAATCGACTGAAGCATCCTGGTGCCTCCATCACTGAAAATGGCGCCCCTGTTTCTGATCCTGAAATCGGTAACGCCTTTCTCGTCTCTGCTTTTGTATGTAATGCTGCCTCGGTCCATGGCCAGATTCATCACTCTTGGATTGTTGACTCTGGTGCTTCAGCTCATGTTTGCTTTGACAAACATCTGTTCTCTGAGTTAATTACTATTATTCCGAGCACAGTCACTCTACCTACTGGTCTTCAAATCTCGGTCACTCAGGCTGGCAAAGTACCCTTGAATGATCATTTACTCTTGACGAATGTGCTTTATGTTCCATCCTTTACTTTTAATATCATTAGTGTCAGCTCCTTGCTTCGCAACACTAATTTGTCCTGTCTTTTCTCATCTGCCTCTTGTCTCATTCAGGAAACTTCTCGGGGCTCGACGATTGGGAGGGCTAAGCTCTTGCACAATCTGTTCTTCCTCGAGCCCGACTTCATTCCCTCTGTTCCATCTTTTTCTGTTCATTCTGTTAGTACCGATCCTTCTCTTTGGCACTCTAGGCTAGGCCACTTATCTTTTCGAAAACTCAGAACGTTGTCTGATGCTTTATCTCTGTCTAAGTGTTCTGTTTCTTCTCATTGTCGAGTCTGTCACCTAGCTAAACAACGTCATCTTCCTTTCATTTCAAACAACAATTTGTCCCAATCCCTGTTTGATCTCATTCATATAGACGTTTGGGGTCCTTTCTCCGTTTCTTCTTATGATGGATATAAGTATTTTTTGACAATAGTGGATGATCATTCTCGGGTCACTTGGGTCTATATGCTGAGACAGAAATCCGAGGTTCTGCAAGTCATTCCAGATTTTCTGACTTTGGTGGAAACGCAATACTCTCTGAAAGTTAAGGCTGTGAGATCAGACAATGCTCCGGAGTTATCCTTTGAATCCTTGTTTCGATCTAAAGGCATTTTCCATTACTATTCTTGCGTGCAAACTCCGCAACAAAACTCAGTTGTGGAACGCAAGCACCAGCACATTTTAAATGTTGCTAGGGCCTTGCTTTTTCAGGGGAATATTCCACTACAGTTTTGGTCGGATTGTGTCAGAACGGCTGTATTTCTCATCAATAGGACGCCTTCTCCACTCCTGTCAGATAGGTCTCCTTATGAGTTGCTGAAACAGAGACTTCCTGACTACTCGTATCTCAGAGTTTTTGGATGTTTGGCATATGCATCTACATACAGTTCACAACGCCATAAGTTTTCGGCTCGTGCTCGAGCGACGGTTTTCCTTGGCTATCCTTCAGGCTATAAAGGTTACAAGCTTCTCGATCTTGCAACTAATACAATCATTATCTCTCGCCATGTTGAATTCCATGAATCCATATTTCCTTTCCATTCTGAGATTTCTGTCACTCCCGACATCATATTTCCAAACAATATTCTGCCATTACCTATTTCAATTTCCTCAGCCCCTGCTTCGACACCGTCACCTCCAGTTGAACCACACAGCTCTTCCCCTTCTCCTTCCTCTTCTTCTTCACAACCACCTGCTACCAGACCCAAAAGAAATGTCAAACCTCCTTCTTACCTTCGTGATTATCATTGCTCTCTTTCCAGTACACACTTTGCTGACTCTTCCTCATCTTTATATCCTATCACCTCTGTTTTATCCTATGACCGTCTCTCTTCATCATACCGAAATTCGGTCCTCAATTTTTCCTTAGAGACTGAACCCAAAACTTTCAAAGAGGCTGTAACCAATATTGCTTGGAGGAATGCCATGGAAACAGAGCTTCGTGCATTGGCTAAGAACAAGACATGGTCCATTGTGTCTCTGCCACCAGGTAAAAAAGCTGTTGGTTGCCGGTGGGTGTATCGGGTTAAGCACAAAGCCGATGGTTCAGTGGAGAGATTTAAAGCCAGACTGGTTGCCAAAGGCTTTACCCAGCAAGAGGGCGTTGATTTTTTGGAAACATTCTCCCCTGTTGCCAAATTGGTCACTGTCAAGCTAATTCTGGCACTTGCAGCTGTGAAAAATTGGTCTTTGTGTCAATTAGATGTCACCAATGCCTTCTTACACGGCACCCTTGATGAAGAAATTTATATGACCTTGCCACCAGGTTATACATCTGCCACAGGAGAATCGTTGCCCAATGATGATGTTTGCCGATTGCATAAGTCTTTATATGGCTTACGCCAAGCTTCACGGCAATGGTATTTAACTTTTGCTCGAGTTCTGGTTTCTGCAGGATTTACTCAATCTCAGGCCGATCACACGCTGTTTGTTCGGCAATCCGGGCAGACATTTGTTGCTCTGCTCGTTTATGTCGACGACATCATAATCACAGGCAATGATGACAATGCTGTTCGAGCTTTGAAGAAGCTTCTCAATCAGAAGTTTCATATCAAGGACCTTGGCAGATTACAATTTTTCTTGGGTTTGGAAATTGCACGTTCTGCTAGTGGTATTGCTATCAGTCAAAGGAAATATTGTCTGGAATTGATTGAGGATGCAGGTCTTCTTGGTTGCAAACCTGCTTCTACGCCACTTGATCCGAATGTTCGTTTGACAAGGGAATCAGGGGAGCCCTTATCCGACATTACCAGTTATCGTCGGCTCATTGGTAGATTGCTGTACCTCACGATTACCAGACCCGATGTTACCTTTGCTGTACACAAGTTAAGTCAGTTTCTATCAGCACCGACCACTGAGCATTTACGAGCCGCTCAACGTGTGGTCCGTTACCTCAAAAAGAACCCAGGACAAGGCCTTTTTTACTCGGCCACTTCTGATATACGCCTCAATGCTTTTGCTGATGCGGACTGGGCTTCCTGTCCTGATTCTCGGCGATCCATCTCTGGTTTTTGCGTTTTTCTTGGTAGCTCCCTCATCTCATGGAAAGCTAAGAAGCAGACCACTGTTTCCCGAAGCAGCACTGAAGCTGAATATCGTTCCTTAGCAAACGCAACTTGCGAGCTTATCTGGCTTCGGAATTTATTGGCCGACCTTCATGTCTCTCCTTCTGGTCCTGCCAATCTATACTGCGATAACAGGTCCGCAATTTACATTGCCTCTAATCCTGTTTTCCATGAGCGCACCAAGCACATAGACATCGACTGCCATCTCGTGAGGGAGAAGCTTCAATCAGGTTTTCTCAAAATGCTCCATGTCACTTCGAACAGGCAATTGGCTGATCTGTTCACGAAACAAGTTCAACCTGCTCTGTTCTCTGCACTTTTAGATCGCCTGGGAACTTCAAGCCTCTTCCTACCGTCTGTGTCTTGAGGGGGGCATATTAAGGATATGTATTGGGCCTATAAAAGATGTTGGGCCCAAGCAAGAAACAACGAGAGGCGACCCACTGAGCTCACTAAGGGAAGAAATCGCATACAATTTTCGTGTGGCAATTTCTCTCTCCTCCATTTCTCCTCCATTCTTTATTCCTTTTGTAAATCAGTTAGGAAGTTTGTTATTTGTTTCCTGTATAAATCCTTGTACAGATTCATTCTGAATCAATGAGAAAAATCTTTTTCAATCCTTGATAAGAAGAGCTAGCCGTGACCTGTCTTGACCCTGAAGACCGAACAGTTGTGCGGTGCTGATCTGATCTACTTAGGTCTCTTTTAACCATTTTTTTATTCCTTGAATTCTTTTTCTTCTTCTTTTTTTGGTCAAATGCCTCTCTGAGTGATTTGTTCCTCGTTCGTCCGGCAGTGTCTCTTACGAGTTTGTAGACTATTCTTTTATATATGCTGCAAAACGAATGTCCTTTCAATTCATTTCTTTGTTAAGAGGATCGAATAGAGTATATGGGTATTCTATATTGGTTTGATCAACCAGACAAAAGGCCTATTAGCTCAGTTGGTTAGAGCGTCGCGCTAATAACGCGAAGGTCGCAGGTTCGAAACATATGCCGTTTTCAATTTTTTATATTTAATTTTATGGGCCAGATGTATATTTTTTTTATACAAAAAAGGAAAGATGGATAAGACAGTAATGAGGGGGGTAGGACCTCTAATCAGTCCTCATAAATTTATCCTAATCTGATCACTTGCATTCCCGCACACCTTTAGACGTCCCGGAAACTAGCTTGATCGTGGCCAAGGAGCAAAATTTTTCACATTATGCCACGTTTCATTGATACGATTGGTGTCACACTCTATTAACATAGACTCGCGCGTACGTGATTACTGTCGGCCACATTAACCACTTAGTTTTTTAAACGCGCCCTCTTCAAATCGCTCTCCCCTTTGGTAAAGAGTACCAGCTATACTGTAGTACCAAGTACCAACCGAAGGAAACAGAGCGAACGAGAGAGAGAGAGAGAGAGAGAGAGAGAGAGAGAGAGAGGGAGAGAGAGAGAGAGAGAGGGAGAGGTGTTTTGGTTCGCTGGCGGCGGAGAAGACGATGACCGGAGAAGGAGGTTACGGCGGCGCGTCGGGGAAGGTGGATTACGTGTTCAAGGTTGTCCTGATCGGCGACTCCGCGGTCGGGAAGTCTCAGCTACTCGCTCGGTTCGCCAGGGACGAGTTCAGCATGGATTCGAAGGCCACCATTGGAGTCGAGTTCCAGACTCGTACGCTCGTCATTGACCACAAGAGCGTCAAGGCTCAGATCTGGGACACCGCCGGTCAGGAACGGTGTGCCTTCTCCGATCTTCTTGCTCCTCTCTCGAGCTCTCGCTTGTTAGATTTATGTGGTCTTTCGCAGAAATCCGGAAGTGTTGTTCAGAATTCCGTAGTTGTTGATTCGAACTCGGTTTCCCCCCCACCCCTAGAATTTCGATTGGATCTGAAGATTCCTGAAAGCGACCTGGTTTGACCAATTGGTTTGAGTAGATTTTTTCTTTGCACTTATAGGACTTTATGAGTTCGATTTGACCAGATCGGGAAGATATTTTACCTTATGTATTGAAAATGTTGATCTGATTGAACCGCTGGTACGAAATCTGAGACTTAAGGCAGGAAAAAAAAATGGAAAAGATCTAGAGGAACAGAGCTAGAGTTTGTCTACATACGTAGATCTCTCTTTGTATCCTTTAAACTGGACTTTTGTAGACAGCAGCATTTCTTTAGCTTTATGCGTTTAGATCCCACGAATGACGGTATTATCGACATGTTATGGCTCTGTTCTACTCTCTACTCCTTAATGTTACCAGTGGTTTTTGCAAGGGAAAGAACTTGGATTCATGTTTGATCTTTGACGGCTGACTTACTTGATCGATGTTTTCGGGTTAAGCAGATACAGAGCGGTTACAAGCGCGTACTACAGAGGTGCAGTAGGGGCAATGCTGGTATACGACATAACGAAACGCGAAACCTTTGAGCACATCCCGAGATGGCTGGAAGAACTGCGAGCTCACGCTGACAAGAACATCGTCATCATCCTGGTCGGGAACAAGACAGATCTCGAAGATCAGAGATCTGTTCCCACGGAAGACGCCAGAGAATTCGCGGAGAAGGAAAGACTGTTTTTCCTCGAGACGTCGGCCTTAAACGCGACTAACGTCGAGAAGGCCTTCAACACTCTCTTGACCGAGATCTTCAACACGGTGAACAAGAAGAATCTCGCGTCCGAAGGCGATTCAAATATCCCGGGATCGCTGGCCGGCAAGAAGATCGTTATTCCGGGACCTGCCCAGGAGATTCCTACCAAGAACAGCGTGTGTTGCAAGTCTTCTTGATTTGTTTGCAGGTAAAAAAAAAATATTCCATCTGATAATATAACATCATTGGATTTTGTGAGGCAAAATAGCTTTCAATTCAATCAATGGCATTGTCTTTTTTCGTTTTTACCGCATTAATAGTTAGTAAGCATCGCATTTATTTATATACGAAACTATAGTTTTATAAAACTTTGATACCCGGTTTTCAAATAATTTTCGAGATGAATCAGAACGAATATTTGCGGATAGAGTATTTTTGCCCACCCTTTTTTTTTTTTGCAAAATTTTGTAAAAAAACAAATTAGGGCTTTGTCAATGGGCCTTAGGGTTTAAGTTGGCATATGGGCCTATGGATTCGGAGTTAATTGTAGATTTATTAAAATATCATATGATTTTGTCCTTGTTGAAGAGGTGGTGGACAAATCATGCTCTCTTATTAAACATTTTTTTTAATAGTCTATCCCATAAAAGTCCGTAATAATTGCTGCAAAAAATCAAGTCTTGCCATTTTTTTGCCAAATCGTAGCCCAAAGATGCGAATTTCCAACAATATCTGATGGTGCTGAAATTTTGATTTTTTTCAAATATGAGAGTATCAATGCATATACGCAACGCAAATGATGTGACATAAAGATGTATGGTCACAGGCATGGCTACGGTTAGGGTTCCACGAATATGGAATATGTAATATATCCTATAAGATAGTGTCGTGAGATACAAGCAAAAATAGTGGTAATTGCCTAATGGTTAAGGGGATATATATATATACACATACAATACAAGGATTTAGGCCACTCATGTATAGTCACGAGGTCGTCCAAAACGCACTTAGTAAATTTGAGTGGCGTCCATGTGCATTCCATTTCCTCATTTTGAACCTCTTTATATATATATATATATATATATATATATCCATCCATAGTGGTAAATAGGTCAACAGCTAAAAAAGAAAACTAAAATTTATAATGTTCTTAAGACCAATTTTATCAATGTTTTAGATGGATGTTGAGTATGCGGAAATTTCTATATGTAGAAGCATAATTATCGACGTCAAGAGTACGGATCCTCATATTTTGATGACAACAAGAACCATGTAACTTCTGAATATGAGTGTATGTATGTATATGCGTATGCGTATGTGTATGTGTATTGTCCATGGTTGTCCAAGGAGAGGAGAGGGGAGAGTGATTTAATTTTCAACAAAATGGCGTAAACATCTGACGATAAAGTGAAGATAAGTATCTAATAAACGACGACGAATCAAACGCCTCGTCGGCCCACGAGTGACGACCGCCCCCTAGTGTCAGTCCTTTTCAGACCACGGAAAAAAATAAATAAATTAAAAAAAAAAAGACTTGTGACTTATGAGTCTCTCAAACTGCGTTTTGCTTTGTTTGGTTCCAAAACCAAAAACCCACAATCTGTGTTGCCTCCTCTTGCCACAACAATCCTCTTATCTCGCGACACCCTCTCTCTCTCTCTCTCTCTCTCTCTCTCTCTCTCTCTTCATTTATTTCCCCTTATTATAAACACATTATTATTAATATTATTAATATTTTTATTATATTGCTTTGGTTCAGATTCACAATATCTCATATGCATCATTAAAGTTGGATTTTTTTTTGCTAAAGTAAAGCAAAAGTTGGTTGTTTCATTATTGATCTCAATCCGCATACACTTATTATAGTTGATTGTGTTATTTATAGACTGCAACTATGCTAACATAACGTTTCTGTGCTTAGTATAAATATCATATTATAATTCAAAGCTTTAATTATTGAAAAAGACAGATAATTCCGTAGGACCCAAAGTTGCTTTCTTTATCCCAATTAAAGTCAATAACCTGTGGAGCCTCTGTTAATGAATTGACCCGAAAAGGATATATATTATTTGTTCAACTTAATCCGGGGTTCAAATTGTTTGATATATTTTTTTTTCTAAAAAAGAAAAATGATTTTTTTTTAAAAAGATTGAATCTAATACAACGGAGTCTAATAAAAAAAATCCTTATAAAAAATATTCATCCAAATTTTAATTATACATTTTTTGAGGTTATTATGCATGAAAGGGCAAAATCACAGATGATTTATAGTAAGTATTTATGGCACATACATACATGTTTAGCTCCTTTCCTTTTTTTCCCGTGTGGATTCACATGTTCAATAAAGGACCATAAGAAAGCAATATGAATGTGCAATGAATTAACTCTAGCCTCAAGATACAAACTTTTGACAAAATGTATCACTTTTTTACAAGTGAAAGTAGACGGATTTTAAATATAAATGTTTTTCAAAATTCAGATTTTTTTCAATATAAAAAATTGGGGTTAAAAAAAATATGGAGAGAGGTTGTCTGCATATATAGTTCCAAGGGCCAACCCCACAGCACCACACTTGCACACACCCATCCAAAATTAGACTAAGAATCATTCTCGATACCACCAAAAGTCTCTTCTTCTTCTTCTTCTTCTTCTTCTCCTCCACCACTCCCCATCACTTCTTTCATAGAGTAACCAGCTAGAACATCATTCAAAAGCCTTAAAAAGAGAGAGAGAGAGAGAGAGAAGAGCATGTCACCTGTTCACCTTCTCCTACTCTTTACGGCGGTGGCAGCAGCGGTCCCCGGAGAGATTCTCCGGCCAAGATTCTACAGAGAGACATGCCCGGAAGCCGAATTCATCGTCAGAAGAGAGATGAGAAAAGCCATGCTTAAGGAACCCAGAAGCGTAGCCTCCGTCATGCGTTTCCAGTTCCACGACTGCTTTGTTAATGTAATTACCAACTTCTCATTTCATCTGAAAACCCAAAAAAAAAAAAGGAATAATCTTTCTTATAGAGAAAAGAAAAAAGTACCCGACTTTACTAAGGTTCTCCTGGTTTCTCAGCAGCTAATTCGTTCCTGTTTGTAACTTTCTTGTCTGAATTTTTTTTTCTCTGTTTTTTTTTTTGGGTAGGGATGCGATGCCTCTCTGTTGCTCGACGACACACCAAACATGGTGGGGGAGAAACTGTCTCTTTCCAACATTAACTCTCTTAGATCCTTTGAAGTGGTTGACGACATTAAAGAAGCAATCGAGAAGGCTTGTCCCGCCACTGTCTCTTGTGCCGACATCGTCATCATGGCCGCTCGTGACGCCGTCGCCCTTGTATATATATACACACATATATATCCCCCCTGTTAGTTCAACCCCCATAACACGCCACTTCGGTTATTGACTGATTCGATCTTGGTTTTGTCCTGAACCAGACAGGAGGACCGGACTGGGAAGTGAAGCTCGGCAGAAAAGACAGTCTAACCGCCAGCCAGAAAGATTCGGACGACATAATGCCGAGTCCCAGAGCCAATGCAACGTCCCTGGTGGATCTCTTCCGACGATTCAACCTCTCTGCCAAAGACATGGTGGCTCTTTCCGGGTCACACTCCATTGGTGAGGGCCGGTGTTTCTCGATCATGTTCAGGCTATACAACCAATCTGGCTCGGGCAAACCCGACCCTGCACTTGAACCCAGCTTCAGGGAGAAGCTCAACAAGCTGTGCCCATTGGGTGGCGACGAGAACGTGACAGGCGATCTTGATGCCACGCCTCGAGTTTTTGACAACCAATACTTCAAAGACTTGGTTTCGGGAAGAGGGTTTCTGAATTCCGACCAGACACTTTACACTTCGCCAGAGACGAGGGGGTATGTGGAGATGTTCAGTGAGGATCAAGAAGAGTTCTTCAGAGCTTTCGTGGAAGGGATGGTGAAGATGGGTGACTTACAGTCTGGGAGACCAGGAGAGATTAGGTTCAATTGCAGGGTTGTTAATCGAAAGCCTCTTAATGTACTGCTCGAGTCTTGAACAGAGAGATACATCTCTCTTCTATACTTGCAGCTCTTAGCGCTTAAATTTATGATTTTTATTTTACCATCACCTGGAATGTATCCACTCCAGCCTGATAAGATAAGAAGAGATATAATAAATTACAATATTGCTGTTGAATTGCTCCCAAGTTGCAGTTTTGTGATGATTACCCTCTCGAAGAATCCAAGCGGCACAGCAGAGGGTTTTACCAGAAGCTTCTGGTACTGGACTGCGCCTAATCTGTTGCATTAGCCTTAGCAATTCTCTTATTTTTTATGGCGAGTCTTGCTTTCTCCATTTGCAGAGTCTATGCAATCACAAGCCTCTGGACATTGTTGGCCTTCTCACCTTCTTAGCCGCCAATGAAAATTCGAGCTTCAATCAATCAGCGGAAAAAGAGTTTCAGATTGTAAGCACTTCTGTCAACTCCAGGAGCCATATTTGAACATAAAGGAGTTAAGTAATGAAGATAAACCTGCTTTGGATTTGAAGGTGTATGTTCACAGATTTCCTAACATCGTCTTTCGAGAGGTTAAAGAGCTTCAGAGGTCATCTCATTCCAAACAAGTTTGGAACACGACCAGGAGCAAGAACAACATCCGGAAAACCCTTACATTCCTGTCCAGCACAAGAATATAAGAAAATAATGAAGGAGACATGATAGCACCAAACATGGTTTATTCAGGAATACCATCGGGAACTAAAGAGAGTTAGCAGAAGCAAAAACACAAACCTCTCCCGTTGCATCTCCAGGGAATTCCCGAGAAACCCTGTTGTCGGAAACATATCTCCCTGCATCCCCAAAGATCGATATTGTATCATGTGAACAGGTTGCTGAATCAAGAAGAATCTAAGAAATGGAAATATTAGTTCGATGCCAGGGGGATAGAATGTACGGTCTCCATGTAATTCATATACCTAAAACTCGCCACAATCGGAATCCCAAAACCAATACAATCGATCATACACGGCGCTAATCAAATGGTAACATAAAATATATCAAGGGAATTTTCGAAATTTGCGTTGCCTTAAGCACGATCGGATACGAAAAGCGGTTGAAACAGCAAATCAAGCATTGAAGAACGATGAAATCGGATCGCGACAGTCTGTCGCCATCCCCGATCTCTAGCTTCTTCCGGCATCCAGCTGTCGGATTCCAGATATTGAACTACCGCTACCCGGAATCTGGAAAGAAAGAGCATAACAATGGTCTCTGTACACGTAAAATTCAGTAGTGAAGAAGAAGCAGAAGAAGAAGAAGAAGAAGAGAAGCAGACACGAAACACGGTCACCGCGCAAACGAGTTGAACATTATGGGCCTCTTCTATATGGGCTCCACGTAAGCAATGGGCTTACATAGTTCTTTATGTTTGGGCCCAATAACTAGTAGATTAAAAAATATTATAAACATAATATGGTAATAGAATATGTCATAGGGTGGGTTTATTCCAACTCAAATTCATTCTATTATATTCAAATTCGATTATTTTCTTATTCGAAAAATTTTAACCGTTATGTTTTTATATTGAATTCGGGTCGATTTCAATTTGTATTGAAAAATCTTCTGTTATGTTTTTTAAAGTTTGGTTTGGTTTTTGAATCCGGTTTTTTGCCATTTTATTTAGATAAATTATAATCATAAGGTTTTTATCTCAGATCCAGTTCACTAATCATATGTTGTTCGACTCACATCTCAGTTATTTAGTTATTAATCATTTCTAATTAAATCGTTAAATTTAACTAGTAAAAATTAATATGTTTATTTTCCATCAATTGGTGTGTATAAATTCAATATTTCAACGATTTTTTTATTAATTAGTCACTTTATTCTATATATAAATAATCGTTAATTAAGATTTACTGCCTCTAAATATAAAAATATTCATATCTCCAAAATTTCGGAATTACAAAATGGAATATATATTAAATAAAATAACTAATAGTGGATTCAACTACGAACTACCTAACATTGGTTGTCAAGGTGGACCATGTTATGTCATACATACGTCGATTCATACCCTATTAAATCCCATCTTACCATACCATACATGACCTTCGATTTGCGAGCCAATCATATGATTATTATATCTTTTTCGAATGAGGTATTGTTACTATTGTATGATTATCTTATTTTTATTTATTTATTTATTTATTTTTTTTGTAAAAATATATATTTTTTATTTAAATTGCAAACCACCTAACGATATCTTCGTAAGATTTTGGTGGATCATTGATCGATACAACTATACTTTTATCCACTTTATTATATAAATACCACGAGTGCATACAAACACTATCAGCACATATACACACACACTCACGCAAAGTCACACAATGCTGACGTGGCATATATGTTTGTATGTGTGTATACATTTCTAAACGTGGATGTGGGTGGAGGAGATAAAATCAATCAGAGGGCACACACAAAATCACCACTGGTCTCGACATCATCAATCTCATCGTCATCGACGTCATCATCATCATCATCAAGAAGATCCATGCTTCCATCTATTAACCCTAGTCCGCCATTGTTACCCGCCACTGGCTTTCTTGCTTCATCTATTATCTTTACTATCTCTTCCACGCTTTGACACTCTTCTTCTTCTTCTTCCTCTTCATGGTCTTTAACATAATTGTTAATGTCGACTTCTCCTTTGCATTTCTCTTCTTCCATTAGTCCATGAGGAAAATCCTTCAAGAACCATGGATGCTTCTTGATTTCCGGTATGGTTATTCTCTGTAACCCAAAAGCATGATTCATGATCGGTAGAACTGGACTAAGCCGATGAATTTGGAATCTCTCATCCCGGTTTGGGCATACCAGGCTGGTCTAGAGCTCATTCAACCGGATTTTCTTCGGTTTTACATAATAATGTAAGGGGGGAAAACACAAACTATTTATACGATTTATTACCTTGTCGGGATCGGAAACAAAAATACGAGACAAGAGATGTTTGCATTCCGGGGAGATTCGGACATAATCCGGTATGGTGTAATGAACACTCAGAATCCTCTGTCACAAATAATAACGACCCGTTTATTATTCATATCAAATCAAACATTAAATTATCATAATTGAAATAGAAAACTATGGAATAATTTAAAAAAAAAATCATATAAGAAGAGGTTTGATTATAATTAAAAGGACCTGGATAGTTTTTCTAATGTTTCTTGGATCTTCAGGATCTTCAAAAGGATAAGCACCAACGAGCATTACATACAAGGTTACCCCACATGACCACACATCAGCAATCTACAATAATACACCTCCAAAGATCACTACATCATCATCTTATGAATTATTCACCATCAAGATAATATCATATATATACATATATATATACATGTAAGTATACCTTGCCGTTGTACTCTTTTCGAGACAGGACCTCAGGAGCAACATAGGCGGGTGTTCCAACGGTGGATTTAGGCTGAGAGTGCAACACCGACGACTGAGAACGCACCAAATCGAGCATATTAGTTAGTAATTAGCTGCTTGATTTGAATACAAAAAATGAAATAAAAATGAGATTTTTTTGTAACAATTTATTTAATTTGCCTTGGAGTAGCCGAAATCGCATATTTTGAGCTGCGGCGACGACGGGCTCCCATCCAAGAGAGTGTTCTCAAGCTTGAGATCTCTGTGACATATTTGCTGCAACCAAATACACATTTCACAAATTTCAGTACACAATTTTTTTTTATTACATGCAAACATAATGAGTGTGTATATATATATATATGTGTACGTATTTGAAATATGTGTGCATGCATGTACCATGGAGTGGCAGTAGCTGACTCCTGATATAAGCTGTTGGAAGTAATATCTTGCCTAAACAACGAAAAGGGCAGTCATTAAAAACGAAATAAATTAAAGGGTTATGATAATTAGAGGTTAATAATATTTTTTCTAAGAAAACGAATGATTAACTATATATATATATATATATATTATGGTACTTCGTCTTCGCTGAATCTTCCGGCATTGCAGATTCTTTCAAAGAGTTCGCCTCCTGCTGCGTATTCCATCACTATTGCAAGATGTGTCGGTGTCAGTACCACCTGCAAATATTCACAAAAACCAACCAAACGACCAAACAAAAACATTTTTTTTTCAATAAGTGGGTCCATTTTCATTAATCAACCATTCCAATAATAATATAAGATAATCTCAAGGTGGATTTTGTCAACCCTATTTTATTTAACGAGAAGACTGCTTCCTTCTCTGTCCTTTGAGAGTGGGTACCAAATATATGCATATTAAATCACCAGAATTTCTTCTTCCTTTTCTATATCCTGATTTCTTTTTTGCCTTTTTTTTCCTCACAAAATGCGATATGCCCAGTTATTTGGTGGATATATATATATATACATATAACACTGTACGTACCTCCTTGAATCTGATTATGTTGGGATGCTTTAAGGCTCTGTGGTTTATGATCTCCCTCTGCACATGCTCATCTATCTGCATAGCCCTCACATGAAAAATACCCATTTTTATCGTCGATTTACGAGAAAATTCACAAAAAAAAACATGGGTGTCAAAACCCAAAACCTAAATGAGAATATCAACAGAAACAGACGATCGTCAGCCCAAAATCAGAAGGAAAAAAAAAGATCAAGAATTAGGTTTTTTTTTGGGGGGGGGGGTAAAGATGCAACCTTTTGGCCTCTTTCGATGTACTTGACGGCGTAGAACTTGCCGGTCGCCTTCTCCCTGACCAGCTTCGCCACGCCGAAATTTCCCGACCCAAGATCTCTTAAGATCTCATATCTCTCCATGTCGGAGAAAAAAAACACACACACACACGAAAAGACGGCAATTACAGAGAAAAACGAGAGGATTCTTCGTTTGTTATTGGCCTGAATCGAAACTGCGTCGTTTTGGAGGAGATATCGGCCTACAGCTTCCTGGTCAAGTATAAAGGCGAGGGAATCAAAGGCTATTTGCTGTTTGGTATGAGCATGGCATCAAGATTCGAATAGTTAGATATATAGGAGTGGTGGTGCAAGGCACGCTCTTAACGTTTGTGGGGCCCGCCCGAGAGAGTGGACCGTCAATTTGTCGTCAAGGTGGGGTCCATGTGACACGTGGCGCCACGTTCAGAAGTTGGAAGTTCAGAGCAAAGAGGTGGGTGTTCTGTTCGGTTTCACGCTGAGTGATACGCTCCGGAAAGGGAAAACGAATTTAGGCAATGATAAATTTTATTATTCGATCGTCATTTGGTTCGGTTATAATAAGGCATTAATAAAATAATTTCGAATAGTAATACCCACCTACCTACTTAATTATGATTATCTATTTATAGTATTTACTTTCTATAAGTTTTTTGGCTTCGTGCTTTCGCACTTGCTTATTTGTCTCCATATATGAAGGCATATATGTATATGTCTACGAATTGTGGGTAATTTTTGTATTTTTTTATTATAAGTTAAGATCTATAGCTATATATATATATATATATATATATATAGACAATGAAACATGGTT